ATAATTTTATTTTAATAAATGTATATAACAAATACATATATAAATTCAAAAAATTTATAAGCCAACATTATATAAAAAGCTGTCATCTTTTTCCTGTAAGAGAATGTTGAGATCATTCCTATTTTGGAGATGAAGAAATTCTATCAGAGATGTCAACTGAGTCTCAGAGAAACCAAAAGACTGAATGCCACAGTCTTTCAGGAAACAACTGCTATATCAATGAACACGTATATGTTCTTTAAAGTTCCTAGAAGGGAACTCACCTAAGTTGGGGTAACAAATGCAGAGTACTACTGGAAAACACTTACAGGCTTTTATAGCCATCTGCCCATCCGTTGTTCTAACATCAGAATGAAATTCACTAAAAATTTCTTCCATATGATAGGTAGATAATGGTCCCTTACTTTTTACTCTTTTATGCTGTGCTTATCTCCCTGCTGTTATCAGGACCTGATTTAAAAGCAGGAAGAAGGCAATATCAGTATGGAGTCTCCCTGAAAGCAGGAAGGAAGTACTTCGGACTGATTAAGGCCAGCATGACATTCACAGCAGCCAATCTCATTCTGGCAGAGTTAAAGTAATCATTCCAATATTTGTTTCCTGTCAGCCCATGTCAGGAGCCAAAAGAAAAGTGAGACAATGTATACACACACAAAGAGAAAAAAAGGCTAATTTATTACAATCTGCTTCTCCCATACCAAGTATTAGTAACATTCCAAAAAATAAATAATCACTAAGCTTCAGTAAGTTGGTACGGTATTTACAAGGTAAAATAACTTCAAAACTTAGCAGCCCCTCCTCCACCAAAAAAATTTACCAGCCCATATGGAAACTTCAGCGTTCCTGATCTTCTCCTACCCCACCTCCACTCCCAGTGAGAATGAAATCATCTTGCTACGAAATGTTAAGGGAAAAAAAAGATATTCTCATGGTTAACTAATTTTACATACTATATATATATATAGTATTTGAGTATTTGACTTATAGATGTGCCCTCATTAAGGTACATAAATGCCAAGTTACAATGTCACTTAAAAATGGGTTATACAATTCTACACTGTCTATTCATACAGAATAGACAGTATGACTCTGTTCACCTTCACAGCCTCCTTCTTAAATAATCAATTCTCACCCCCGGCCCCAAAACGTTCTTGGATTCTAATATTTCTATATCTGCATATCTTGATCATCATATTCTAACACCTAAGAACCAGCTTGCACAATATGGGCAGGGCAGGAGAAAGCAAAAAGAAAAAGGGAAAAGGAGAGGAGGAAGGATCTTGTAAATATTTTCACCCAAAACGTTTTCCCTGACCTTGCCCACGACTATCAAAGACAGCTCTCATCTACTCCTAATACGCCAAGTAATTGTAATAACTTTAACCTAACCAGCCGTAAAAATAGCAGAAGTAGCTGCTACCACTTATTAAATGCTTATTATGTATCAAGCACCATGCTGAGTACTTTATGTTATCTCATTTAATCCTTCCTGCAACTCTCCAAAGCAAGCTGTAAAGATTTGGAGATGTTCACTCGCCCAAGTCTACACAGATCGAGGAACCCAGAATCAGACCTAGGTCCATCTGTTTCAAGAACCAAAGATATTAACCATTGTTCTATTTTATTCCACATGCTTTTATTCCTCTCTTTGCTACAAGACTGAGAAAACACAGTATGGACATCCATAAGCAAAAAAAAAGAACCTCAACCTAAACTTTACACCTTATACAAAAATTAACTGGATCACAGCTATCCTACTACTGGGAATCTATCCAACGAAATTGAAATCAACAATCCCAAGAGGCTTATGCACCCCTAAGTTCACTGCAGCATTATCCACTATAGCCAAGAAGTGGAAGCAACACAAACGTCCCTTGACTGATGATTAGATAAAGAAGTTGTGGTATATATATACAATGGAATACTACTCAGCCATAAAAAAGACAAAATTGTCCCATTTGCAACAACGTGGATGGACCTGGAGGGTATTATGTTAAGTGAAATAAGCCAGAGAGAAAGATAAACACCACATGATCTCACTCATATGTGGAATATAAACCAACACACAGACAGAGAGAACTGTATAGTGTTTACCAGGGGCAAGGGGGTGGGGGGAGGGCACAGGGGGTCAAGGGAGACATGTATATGGGGACTGACAAACAATAATGTACAACCAAAATTTCACAATGTTATAAATTATTAAGACATCAATAAAAAAATTAACTGGATCACAGATCTAAATATAAAGAAGCAGAACTATAAAAATTCTGAGAGAAAATCTTCATGACTTAGGGTTAGGCAAACAGTTCTCAAACATGACATCAAAAGTAAAATGGCCTAGCAGTTAAAGTTCCCAGGTGCAGAACCACACTACTCATCTGTCAGTAGCCATGCTGTGGCAGCAGCTCACATAGAAGAACTAGAAGGACTTACAACTAGAATATACAAATATGCACTGGGGCTTTGGAGAGGGGAAAAAAAAAGAGAAGAAGATTGGCAACAGATGTTATCTCAGGGCAAATCTTTCACAGCAAAAAAAAAAAATAGTACAATCTGTAAAAGAAAAATTAATAATTTTGGACTTCATCAAAATTTAAAAACTTTGCTCTGCAAAAGACACTGATAAGAGAATGAGAAGACAAGCTACAGCCTGGGAGTAAAGATTTGGAAATCACATATCCTCGAAAGGACTTGTATCCAGAATAGATATAAAAGAACCCTCAAAACTCAACAGTAAGAAAACAACCAATTTTTAAATGAGCAAAAGATGTGGACACCTCACCAAAGAGGATATAAGGATGGCAAAAAAGCACATAAAAAGATGTTTATCATCATCAGCTATTAGAGAAATGTAAATTAAAACCACAATAAGATACCACTATACACCTATTAGAATGGCTAAAATAAAAATGTCAACACCACCAAATGGTGACGAGGATGTAGAGCAATTGGAATTCTCTTATGTTTCTGGTGGGAATGCAAAATGGTACAGGCACTCTGAAAAACAGGTGGGCAGTTTCTTATAAAGTTAACATACACCCACCATATATTCCAGCAATCCCACTCCTGGGTATTTAAAGAAATGGAAATTATGTTCACATAAAAAACCTGTACACAAATGTTTATAGCAGTTCTATTCATAATTGCCAAAAACTGGAAACAACTCAAATGTCCTCCAATGGGGGGATGGATAAACAAACTCTGGTGCATCTATATAGTGGAATACTACTCAGCAATACAAAGAAACCACTGATACATACAACGACATAGATGAATCTCAAAGGCATTATGCTGAGTGAAAAAAGCCAGTCTCAAAAGGTTACATACTGTTGATCCCATTTATATGGCAGTCTCAGAAAGACAAAACTATACTAACCAAGAAGAGATCAGTGATTGCCAGGGTTTGAGATGGGGAAGAGGTGACTATAAAGGGACAGCATGAGGGAGTTTCTCGAGTGGTAGAATTGTTCTGTATTCTGGTGTGGTAGGTGGTTACACAACTCTACACGTGTTAAAATTCATAGAAATGTACACCCAAAAAAGTCCATTTTACTGTACGATAATTTTTAAGGTAAAATAAAAAATTTTAATTCTCCTGGGGATAACTGGTTAACTAAATAGGAGTTTAAAAAAAATGTTACAGTCTTACCACTGACTATATATCCAATACATTCCAAATGAACTAAAAAGTTAAATGTAAATTATGAAGTAATATTGATCTTCTTAATATACATGAGGTTCTTACAAATAAATTAAAAAATTAACACTCTCAGAGAAAAATCAGCCAAGACATGAAGAAACAAGAGTTAAACATATGAAAAAGTCTTACCTCACCAATAATCAAATAAATGAACAGTAAAGCAATGAGCTAGTATTTTTTATCAATTGGACTACAAAAAAAACTTAAAAGAATAATAACACCTAATACTGGCAAGGGTAGGAAAAGAAACTTAAAGAAACCTACAATTTGGAATATAAAGTGCTATAACATTTCCTGAAGGTAATTTGGATATATATATATCAAAAACCTCAAACACACAAATACTCTCTTTCCACTTCCAGGAATTTACTGAGTAAGAAACTAATTAGAGTAGTGCAGAAAAATATATGCAGAAGAATACTCATAACATCATTAGTTATAATAATGAAAAAACAGAAAAAAAGATTAAATAATTATATATCCATATGATTGAATAGTAAGCAGCCATTAAAAATTAAGTCACTTGAAGATTTATTGAAACAGATTATGCTATTTCAGTCATCACTGCTATAATTTCCTTTCTGGTCTCCAAAGCAAAGGTAAAAAGACTTAACGTTTTTGTTCAATGACAAAACAATGATCAAGGTATAATGCTAAATTTCAAAGAAAGCAAGATATAAAACCATATACAAGTCACATTTTATTTTTTAAATGTATGTGTGTGTACACACACACAAATAAGCCACATCATTATCTCTCAGTGGTGAGATGATGGGTGACTTTTTATTAATCTTTTCTGTATTTTCTAAATTTTCTATAATAAATATATATTACATTCATAAATATTTTTAAAAATCAATAAATATTTCTTTAAATCACCTAAAGTTATATCCAAAAGGAGTTTGAAAACTAAACTCATCTGCTATTACCCTAGTCACAAGCATTTCACTCTTACATAAGTATGACAATTCTATATGCAAATTTGTCTTTTAGTTACTAACCCCAAATAAGCCATGACTACCCAGAGGCAGAAGACCTACAGATAATGGCATCTCATTAACATTGCCACCCACGAGGTGCAGAATAGTGTGCCCATTAGGATGATCCTTTTGTGTCTTGAAATTTTTAAAGAATATCTCAATAATATATAGAGACTTATGTCAATTCAGAATTAAAAGAAACCACCACAAATGATTACCTATTTTGGTAGGAGGAGAGATTTGTATCTACTGTTTGAATTACGAATCATTTTTGTACTCTTTATTTTCCTTTTTAGCTTTTTGTTTTGTTTGCTGCTTACCATGGAGCATTTCTCCAGTACCTCTTCCTGGAACTTCAGGAATCGCTCCTGAACTTCAACTTCATTGAGGAAAAAGGCAAGGAAGTGAGTGAAGGGCTGCTTTCTTCTAAAAGTGAGCAAAAGAACATCAATCCGAGTTCGGGCTGAAATTACACCACTTCGATGCTGGCCAGTGATTACTGTAAGCAAAAAAAAAAAAAAGAGTTAACATGTTCAAGGATCATCAAGTGCTTATAAGATAGGGACCTCCTAATACCATCATCTCTGGGGAGCTAAAGCAATCCTGAATGGGTACATAATTCTGAACAGGGGACAGTACCAGGGGTAAGAAAGTTACCAATGAATTCAATTGTAAGCAGAATAAGATCTAAAAACAGAATATCCTTAAGACCAGCTGATGAAGCAGAAAAATTAATTCAAAAGCTACAAAGCAAACCCTCATAGCTTGTTGGTGGGAACGTAAAATGGTGCAGCTGCTATGGAAAAGTTTGGCAATTCCTTAAAGAATTAAAAAGAGAATTACCATATGACCCAGCAATTCCACTCCTAGATAGAAACCCACAAGAAGTAAAAAAGGTGATCAAAAAAAAACTTGTAGACAAATCTTCATAGCAGCTCTAGTCACAATACCAAAAGGTAGAAACAACACAAATGTCCATCAACTGATAAACAGATAAACAAAATGTAGTATCTCCATACAATGGAATATTATTCAGCCAAAAAAAAGGAATGAAGTACTGATACATGCAAAAATATGGATGAATCTTGAAAACATTATGCTAAGGGAAAGATGCCAGACACAAAAAGCCACATATTGTATGTTTCCATTTATAGGAAATATCCAGAACTGGCAAATTCATAGAGACAGAAAGAAGATTAGTGGTAGCCAAGGACTAGGGGTAGGGAGGAATGGGGAGTAACTGCTTAATGGGTATGGGGTTTCCTTTTAAGATAATAAAAATATTCTGTTATAAGCCAATATGACCTCAATAAAATAATAATTTTAAAAAATGTTCTGGAACTAGATAATGGTGATGGTTGCACAACATTGTAAATGTGCTAAATGCCAATGAATTCAACACTTCAAAATGGTCAAAATGGTGAATTGTATGTTGTGTATATTTTACCACAACAACAACAAAAGTAAGAACAATACCACACACAAAAATTCAAATAACGATAAAAAATTAAGAACAAAAAAATAGAATTTTGTCATAAATTTTACCTCAATTAAAAAAAATACTGTGGCAAAAATTATTAGTGCTTCATGATAGTAAAAGAACAAAGGCAAGTCTACTACAACATATACAATCCTGTTCTATAAGTATGAAAACAGAAGCAAAGTAAAAACGTTTATCTACATCTATATTGCATGGATGGATACCAAATTTCTACATTTTGGTGTAATTTGGCCTTCTTTGATCTGGACTATGTCTTTAAGCATACATAAATGACAGTAGGGGGAAAAAAGCCACAAAGCATAGACCACTGTCTGCAAAAAACAAAACTGTTTAGGGATTATACAATCTCTGTTTAAGCAGGTATTGAACTTCTAGGTTCCAGAACTGGCAAGGCTTGGTTCAAAACAGAAACTAAGGAAAGGTGCAGAAGATATGAACAATGAACAAAACTGGCATTTCAACAAAGACTAAAAGACAGACTTCTGAATATGACATAAAATATTGAAGTATTAGCTGCAATAGCAGCAATATGTGCTACGTACTTTAAAGAGCACAAAGCTTGTTCCTTCCAGGCAACTGCAGAAGTTAAAGAAATAATCCCATTTATTTGTCCTAATATTTTCCGTTAAAGCACTTGAAATTTTCTATAAGAACAACCTTTCTACTTCTTAATAATAATGAAGATATCATATCCATTTTGTTGTAGAGAAACAAGATGGAAATTTCTAGGAAAAGAAGTAAATTGTGAATGAATGAATGAACAGAAAGCCTGAGAACTGTTTGCCTAAGTAAAAAATTGACATAAATAATAACCTAAAAATGTAAGAAGTAGAGAGATGGTGTTTTCTAATGACATTATTTATACTATCAAATAGAATATTTTAAGAATCCAAAAGACTCAAATGCCCAGTGAAAGGAAGTATCCATAGCAGGCACCCAAATATTGTGCTAGAGAAGTACTGATATAGGAGGGTTCAAAGGCAAACTGGGGCAAAATTGAAGGAAAGTAGAAATTATAATTATCTCTGCCAGAGATCAAAAATACAGTGAGAAACTAAAAGAAAAAGGGGTGGAGGGAAGGGAAGCTTAAAAGTCACGTTTATGTTTTATATCTGTAAAAGTTTGGTACAAAATGCTAAATCTGTTCTTTTTCATTCAGGAGGTGGTTTGGTAAAGAATAAGACTAATAAGATGTTTTCATTTTTGTAACACAGAAAATTGAAAAGGGCACTTGAAAGGTGCTCAGACAGACTGATTTCCAAAAAAGATTCCAAGTTCATTAAACAATGACTAAAGAGCAAATATGATGAGGTTAGAAATATTCTACAACTACAAATATCTGAGACCAGAACTTACGTGGCATGGGTCTAAGGACTACAAGGAAAATATAGGAAGAAAATTATTAAAGGCACTGATGTTAAATTTTAAAAAACCAATTCCCTAACTACAATGACAGTACCATTTTAAAAGCATCTTTTTCTACCCCATTGCCTGAGACTTCAAAACAGAGTAGACCAGATCCTTGACTAGAGGACAAATTAAAACCTACTAAATCATTTCCTTCTCTAGTCTAATTTAGGAGAGGCAAAAGAAAATGAATAAATGACAGCAAATACCACACCAATGCAACTGCAGTTTTGATTTCACATCACAACTCAATTTACTCTAACCAGTAAATCTGATTTTCCTATATACTTTACTTCCCTACAAGATCAATAAGCCAGTTTATCTTCTTGTTTTTCAATTAAATTAGTTCCAATAAATTCTTACTTTTAACAATTAGACACACTCGTTTTTCACATTGAAATATTTGTGCTTTCTAAGTCAAAATGGAATTTACAACCTGCCTCCCCTTTTCTGGATAAACTTTGGAATGACTCCAGTATTGTAAAATGGCTAAGGTTTCCACATTTATACCATGTCATACTTTTTACTGCAATAAAAATTATGTTACTATATGGATAGAAAAAATGGGGAACACATTCAACTGTTAATAGTGATTATGTCTGAGGTTATATTACAAGAGACATCCCTTGGGCCTGCCTCGTGGCTTAGTGGTTAAGTGCGCGTGCTCCACTACTGGCGGCCTGGGTTCGGATCCTGGGTGCGCACCGACGCACTGCTTCTCCAGCCATGCTGAGGCCTCGTCCCACATACAGCAACTAGGAGGATGTGCAACTATGACATACAACTATCTACTGGGGCTTTGGGGAGAAAAAGGGGAAAAAAAAAAAAGGAGGAGGATTGGCAATAGATGTTAGCTCAGGGCTGGTCTTCCTCAGCAAAAAGAGGAGGATTGGCATGGATGTTAGCTCAGGGCTGATCTTCCTCACAAAAAAAAAAAAAGAGAGAGAGAGAGAGAGACATCCCTTTACACTTTATATACAATTTCTGCAAGCTTTCGTTTTTTGAAAGCATGTATTAATTTTATCATCAGAAAAAAACTAAAGAAATAACCTTTAATACAATTATAAAATTACTTCAATATTTGTAACTTGAATCTTTAAACTTAAGGAAAGACCCAAGTTTTTGTATCTGTAATTTTAACGAACTGAATATTTATTTTAACGAAAGTCCTTCAAAAATGTCATTAAAGTTCATATGCTAGAGTTTGCTGAAGTTACCAAAGGGCTGGGGAAAACTCGAACACTTTGCTGTCCAATATAGGAGCCCACGTGTAGCTAGTTACATTAAAAGTAAAATAAATTAGAATTAAACAGAATTAAAAATTCAGTTTCTCAGTCACGCTAGCTACATTTCAAGCACTCATAGTCACATGTGGTTGTTGGCTCCTGTACCAGACAGTGCAGATACAGAACATTCCCATTATCACAGAAAGTCCTTTTGGACAGCACCGCTCTAAAGTCCACTGCTGCTCATCTGTCACAGTGATTATTCTTACACAGCACAAAATGAGAAGAGTACTTGTAACTTTTTTCTCCTAAAACTTAATACAATCTATGGGTGTTTATGGAAAATGAATTATTGGAGGCTGCTGCACTTATTTGACTTTGAAAAAGTCCTATCATTTTAGAATGGGTTTTTAAAAATTTTATCCCTACAGTGCCCCTCACTCAAAGCCATTTTACAACACAAGCCTGTGCCCTTGGTTCACACTGATGCTTGGGACAGACAATTTCTGACTTGATTTACATTGCTAAACTATTTTTCCTCACCTGAGCAGTTATTTGAAGCAGGTTATTTTAATCATTACTCTCATAATTTTCTTTCCAGTCTACAAAGCAAGGTAAAAACAAGAGAACACTTATGGAAAGGGCTAAACTTTATTTCGAATTCGCTGATCTCATTGATCTCAATTCTAACTTGAAATAACTCACAAACTCCATTTCAAGCGACTAAAGCATAAAAGAAATCTGCTAGTACTCAATGAGATCTGGAAGCTTTATTCCATCAGTGCATGGTGAAGTATAAAATGAAGGCCCAGGTACTCAATCAAGATAAGGTTGTCTAACTACATCTTCCCTCATTTGGGAGGTTGATACTGATATATTATAAAAAGGCCAATAGCTGTAGAACCCCATAAAGAATACAGTCACTCAACACCTCAGCTGGGTCACATTATTCCATATACATGCAAAAGTGTTTGCAAATACAACTTATATATATACTGATTCTTACCAATTTCTCCTTCTTGTCCAGGCTTAGGAATGCTAATAGAAGTTTTGGTCTCCACTTCTAGTTTCTTCCTAGTGTCCCCTCTCTTTCCAACTATATGCCTATAATATAAAGAAAAATTAATTAATGGAAGGATGTTAAGTCAAAACGTACCAGAATAAAGAATTCTATTTAAATCATATGCGGCCAGAGATACTCCCTTACAGAAAAGCGCTTCAGTAAAAGCTCAATTTTTGCAGAGGAAATTACAAGTCATACAGCTTTATAAAACATGCTGCATTACACTCATTGGCAAAATGACGCCCTACAGCCACTTCAATGTATAGATAGGGTAACTATGCCCAACACCTGTTTGCTTCTCAAAATTAGATTCAAAATCTGGGTCTGCAGCTCAGTGAAAGGAAAACTGGCATGCTCTCAAAGGGCACTTCCAGCAACCAATGGGTCTACAGTACGAGGAGGGAACACCTTGTCCTTTGGAGAGCAAATTAACTATATAATGAGTTCGTCCTAAGGGAATTATCCTTGATCAATAAGACTGAAGAGCTTAGCAAAGAGCAGGGTCCACTATTCAGGATAGATTCAAAAGCACAGCAAGTAAACAAGTAACCCTCAGGCTGGATTCAGCACTTAGACATGTTTTATTTGGAAGATTTCACCTAAAAATTGGGAAATTTCACCCAAAAATATAGATCTGTAGGTTCTTTAGAAAAATTAGAAGATCTGACAACTCATGGCAACAATAGGCTAGAGCCTATTCTCATCTCTAAAAATGGAACAAGAGTTCACCACAGTCCCCATCACTCCCTACTGTCTTTCATCTGCTCCACTTCAATCATCTATTGACTCATTTACATTACTTGCCTACGCCTCCTAGTATAAACAATTCTGACAATCCAAGGTTATCTTCTGGAACCCATAGTAATTAGATGTGTAAGTAAATGAGACTACCGGATTCCAGGAGAGAAGTTTCAGAATCCAAAAACCACTAAGAGACCATCACAAGACTATAAAGTTAAGAGAATAAACTTCCCCATCATCAACAATATTTTGGCTTCTATGATTTCAATTACAGTACCCAATAGCATGGATGACTATGTCTTAAATTGTGCATTTGGTTTTTTATGGGATTACCAAGCCTGATTATTTCCATTAAGATCTATTGTAGTAAGCCAGTTTTTTTTTAAAAAAGATGTTTAGAAGAGGATTAGAAGCCCACAATTTCCATGTGGTTTTCCTCCGTGTTGGGCTAGAGATTCTATCGCACCAACTCTGTCAGGTCTTTGTCTTTCCAGGCCTTATCAGTAAGCGGTGCTTTCAACCAGCCTCTGGCCTGTTAGCATGTGGCTAGTGGACAAGCCTATCACAAAAAGTAGTGGGCTCAAAGTGTCATCAATAGTCTAGGCACCTTAGAAAAGGAAGTGGTTGAGGTTAAAGAGTCTTTAGAATCAAACAAACTTTGGGCAAGTCATTTAACCACTCTAAGCCTACTTCCTCACTTATAAAAATGGAGTGAATAATAACTAAGTATCATAAGGTTGTTCTTAAGGATTAAATGTGCTCATATATAAAAGGGCTTCCCAGTGACTGGCACATAACTCAGTACAGTCCATGCTATTCTCATTAAGCCCATGATGGCATCCTTCCAGTTAAGAGTGAGGCAGACTCAAAAGAGGTTTACATGGGAAGTCTAAAACATCCACTACAATAATACAGATACACAGTGAAAGGGTGACTTCCTTATTGAATTTCTGAGTGGAAATTCCTACCAGATCGAGTGGTTCTCAATCTTGGCTACACGTTGGAATCACCCGAGGGGCTTCAAAAACTAAAGATGCCTGGGTCCAGCTCCCAGAGATTCTGATTTATTGGTCTGGGGTGCACCCAGGTATCAGGAGTTTTAAAAGCCTCCCAGGTGATTGTAATGTGCACCTGAGGTTGAGAACCACAGTATTAGATCTTGTCCACGGACAGGTGTTACCACTATTAGGCTTTGACTGTAAATTAGTTTGGCTAAATAATTTCTTCCTTGATCCAAATAAGCCTACAGAAATGATTCACAAGAAATCAATCTTCCTAGTAAATACTGTCTATTAATTAGAATTTAGCAGAACTAATACCTAATCTAACATGCAAGTCATCTGGAACATAATAAGTACTTAGAGTATATAGAATTCAAAAGATCATCAAGTTAGACTCAGACGTCTAAGGAATTTTTACACACCTTAGCAGTAGCAAATTACACATCAAAGAAGACATGTTACATTGATTTTACCAGGAAACTAAGCCATGACTTCCTAAAATCATGTTTCTTAGAAGAAAATGTCACTGGAGCCTGAGAGGAAAGTGAGCTGTCAGGGTTAGCCTTTGATTTCCCATTTGGCCACATTCCAGGAGAAGGATTTCATCAATAATAGGCGTTTCAGAATACTCTCAAGGTTGATGAAAATGAAACTATTTGCCTCTTGGAGCTTAAAGGTATATGATTCCATATTTGTAGATCTCCTCTCATAGAGGAGCTTGGACAGACTTAATTCAGTACAATACAGAAAACAATTTATGGACTTCCTAGACCAGCCTGTCTTCAAAGGTAGAAGCCAGTTAGCCACAGAAGCTAATCATATTAGTGGTTAATATGGGACAGAATGTGGGCAATTACGCAAGCAAGCACAGATTGAAGTGATCCAAGTTTCCAAGCAATTCATAAAGATGACGCTGGAAAAAGCATATCAGTCTTTGACACGCATTGAAGATTAATAGAACAGACACATTCCTGCCTTCAAGAAGCTTCCCATCCAATGAAGGAAATATCAAATAGCACACAAATAAATATAAACACAAAACTGAGTAATCCTACAAAGGAAAAGCAGAGGGGGGCCGGCCCTGTGGCTTGGTGGTTAAGTGCACGCGCTGCAATGCTGGTGGCCCGGGTTCGGATCCCGGGTGCGCATCGAGGCACCACTTCTCCGTCCATCCTGAGGCCGAGTCCCACATACAGCAACTAGAAGGATGTGCAGCTATGACATACAACTATCTACTGGGGCTTTGGGGGAAAAAATTAAATAAATAAAATCTTTAAAAAAAAAAAAAAAAGGAAAAGCAGAGGTTATTATGGAAACACATAGTAGGGTAATCAATGTGGGTGTTGGGTATGATGGTATCTAAGCAAGCTTTCCTGAGGAAGAAGAATATAACTACGTAAGGAAGAGGAGAGATTATACGGCAAAGGGAACAGTATATGCCAAAGCTCTAAGGCAGGAAGGAGCACAGCATATTTGAGGAACTGAAGAAAAGCCCAGTTGGGCTTAAGTGCAAAGCCAGGGAAAGAGTGGTGTTAGCTGAGACTGAAAAACACAAGGCTGGCTAAGTCATGTTCAAGAGTTTGGTCATTACTAATGGAATAGAATTCCATCTTCAATGGAAAGACATTAACGGATTTTAAGGAGAGGTAGTAAAATAACCAGATTTGCCTCTTAAAAAAATAATTCCAGGGGCTGGCCCGGTGGTGTAGTGGTTAAGTTTGCATGCTCCACTTCAGCAGCACAGGGTTTGCAGGTTCGGATTCCAGGCACAGACCTGCGCACTGCTCATTGGGCCATGCTGTGGTGGCATCCCATATACAAAGCGGAAGAAGACGGGCAAAGATGTTAGCTCAGGGCTAATCTTCCTCAGCAAAAAGAGGAAGATTGGCAACGGATATTAAATCAGGGCTGATCTTCCTCACCAAAAAAAAAACTATATCATTCCACCCTCAATGTGAAGAACTGACTGGGAGCACAGCAAGAATCAATGTGGAGAGACCAGTAAGTAGGCTATTGGAAGTAAGCTACAGAAGAGACAGCAGAGTGGCAGTAAAGAAAGAGAAGTGTTGCATTCATAAGATATTTAAGAGGTAAAATCAACAGAACTTGGTGATACATGTGGAATGATGAAACTAACCTGCAATCTGTCCTTAGAAATTCTAGGACATAAAACACTAAACTACTTTGTCATTAGTAATCAAGCATTGCAATAAGTGTGGAAAAGAGAAGAGTCAGCTTCCCACTGAGCTTCCTGGAAGTTCCTCCCCGGGAAGCTGCCAAGGGCCTCACTCACTTGTAGAGCAGGGTGGGGGCCTTCACGGTACACCGGAAGCCTTGCTGGGTCTGCACCACCTCGTAGGCATCACAGGGCTCTTCTGCACACTCCATGAAGCCTGCACAGAAACCATAACATCCCACTCAGAGCTGCTGCTCTGTGGACAAATAGTCTTCTCTCCAGCTGTCAATCAGTCTCAAGGTTTAAAAAAAGCAATACAGGCGCTGACCCCATGGCATAGTAGTTAAGTCAGGCATGCTCTGCTTCGGTGGCCCAGGTTCACGGGTTCAGATCCCAGGCACAGACCTACACCATTCATCAAGCCATGCTATGGCAGTGACCCACATACAAAATAGAGGAAGACTGGCACAGATGTTAGCTCAGGGCAAATCTTCCTCCTCACAAAAAAAGCAATACACAAACAAAAAGAACAGCCCAACACTTCACATTGCAGAACACTGCTCTGACATTCCATCTGACCTGCTCTTAGAACAATAAAAAACACATGACTATTTTAAATCTCCGAGTCTTGGAACCTTGGAAAAGTAGTATATATGTACCACTATTTAACTGTTTTCTCCCAGAAGCTAAGATACAATAAAAATTTTTTTACTACTTTTTTATGGAGATATAATTCACAACATAAAATTCATCCTCTTAAAATGTACAACTCAGTGCTTTTTAGTATTAAGACACAAAATTGCTTCAGTGAATGAAGTAGGAGCGATACTAGGAGAACTTACTCGATATAGCTGAGACAAAGAGAAAAGAGGAGGTGAAATAAAGGAACTCAAGGCCCCAAAGCGGAACAGAAACAATGCGGAGGACCACAGGGAAGACCAACCCCCACTGCTACCTCTCTAAGACTAACCCCTTCGGACCTACACCACTCATCGGTAGCCATGCTGTGGTGGCCACCCACATACAAAATAGAGAAAGCTAACAGATGTTAGCTCACGGTGAATCTTCAAGCAAAAAAAAAAAAAAATTATCCCTACATAATAATAAAGTTATGTTAGTTGTGTATTTGGAACTGCCTGTACATAACTGCAAAGAAGAAAAAAATAACACGACAATAATAGTAACAACTAACATTATTGGGCACTGGAGAAAATACTTTACATATGTTAATTTATTTCAATAATTTATATATATTAATTCACAACTTTACAGATAAAGGAACTTAACTGTCACGAAATATTAATGGTTAATATTAACAGTTAACTAAAATCACCTCTATTACATTTAAGCCTCTATACAAAGAAGAAACATAACCTGAGTTATGAACTGCAAGTGAGAACACCCCATCAAACCCAAACTCAACAGTCCTCAAGACATCAACACAAATGGAGCTATGAGAGACCAAACATCTCAAATTTCAGCACTCACACAGAAACACACCGAAACAAAACAAAGAATTGCTTTTACAATACAGAGAACATTTTACTTCTAATCTGACCAACGAGCAACTAGGATTACCTTGATAAAAGTCTTCATCTTCTTCTTCATGTTGATAAGTCTGTTCTTGGATGGGATTCTTCCTGTAAATCCGTCCACCAATTTTAATAAGCTGTGGGCGAAGAACTTCCATATGTCCTCCAAATAATATTCCTGTGGAATCCTGAAAAATAAATGACCATCCTACCTTTTGTTTTAATCAGAAATAAAAACCCTATCTCTATTATATGGATCATTATGCAGGCCTGAAAAGACATAATTGTGCATCTGTTCATAGTACATCCTAAGCAAAACCAGCACTGTCTCCATTAGATTTCCCCTAATCTAACATCTGTAAGCTGTTTTAAGCCAATTGCTGCATTTTCCACTACACTATTCCATTCCTGGCTCACTCTAGACAGTAATTTATAAACTATTCAGTCCTCCAAAAAAGGTGATTAAAAAATACTGGGCCCTTTATATACAGCCTGTCCACGACTCTGTAAGAGAGAATAGGTCTGTTTATTACTTGAATCTAAAAGGAATAAAATACAACCTTCTGTGTTCATCTAACCATTTGCAAAGTGTTTCACCCTTTCTATCCACCATAATACTTAAGAGAATTAGGAATATTTAATACACTTATCCTTCAAGGGAAAAAAAAGCCCCTAAGTACTTTTAGAGGTGCTTGAAATAGACACCCAAGGATTAGATCCAGTTGCCTATGAAAACACAGTTAAAATATGACTTGACCAACATGGTTCTTCAAACCAATACATTGCTGAGGGGAGGAACCCAATTTCTATACGCCACTGTCCAACAAACTGTACATGACTCACTGAGAAGCCAAGCTTCTAGTCACCACATAATAAATCAGCAATTCGGGAAACAAAGGTTCCTTATCGGCTGGCTGTGTTTAAATTCAACCAGTGTTCCTACCACATAGGCTGGATAGTGTTGAGGCCCAAAATACGTGAAAAGTCCCAAAGAAAACAGATCAATCCTTACTACATACACTGATGTTCAATCCAACCCTCCGCAAATAAGTCACTTTCATTGGTAGTTTGCTTACAGACCAAGGAGAGGTTTCGCGTTGTGAGAAATAACAACATAGAAGGTAAACAGACTTGAATGGACAAAGAGGGGGCATAATTAGCAATAGTTTAATGATATTACATCCTAGTGCCTTATTCCCCCAGGACCTCTCAAAAAAAGCACCAAGGCTCTCCACAAAAGTAGACTTCAGCGTTAACATACGGCCTTCAGACCACAGGTTCTGGAGGCAGAGCTGCCTCAGAGACCGCAAACTCTTCATCTGCCTTTCCTACACAGCCCTGGGCTGCGAGACCGCTCAGAAGGAAGGGGGCATAGCCAATCTAACCCTGCTTCGTGGTGGTTTGGAGAGGGAGAGGAGAGCAGAAGGCCTGCAATGCCGTGCAGGAAGCTGAAGCCCTGAATCTTAAAAGCGAACAAAAAAACCACTACGCCCAAGGGAGAGAAGAGCGCTCGTCTGCTGCCGATAACCCGCGGTACCGCGAGGAGGCCAAGGACCCGGAAGTGCTCCCGGGGAGCGCGCCCTCCGCGCCTCTCCGCCCCGGCCACGCCCACCACAGCACGGACGCGCGCACGCCGCCGCAGGCTCCCTCCGCACGGGCGCGAGCACGCCACCGTCCTGGCCGTTGGAAGCGCGGCCGCTCCGGCTGGCCCTGGAGGGCGGGGCTGTAGGGGAAAGTGCCAAAACCATTGAGGTAAGTGGCCCAGGGCTCAGGGACCCTCGGGAGCTTGATGAACAGGGAGTCGATCCCTGGGAGCCTACCTGCAGGAACTAGTAAAATGCAGAAGGTAGGAGGAGAGACAGGAGCCTGCCGAAGAAGGCTTGTCAGAAGAAATTTCCTCAGGCCGCGCCGGACTGAGTGCGCATGCGGACCGGGGGATGGCGCCTGCGCAGTGTGACGGTGCCGGTGGCGTCGCCCCCTTGGGACTGGGCGGGGAGGTGGGGGAGATGTGGCTTGGAGTTAGGTTGGGAATCCTGGCCTTCTGACCCCTCCCGTCTCCAGCCCCTTTTCTCCACCCCACCTCGTTTTAGCTGCAGCATCTGTTTGGGTGGTAATCAGCTATTTAAGTGGAACACAGTGGGACGATTTGTTGATGATGGAATTTAATGATTGCTTGTAATAAGGTGCTATTGTGCCAGGGTGCTGCTTTCAGCGTCTTTTTGATAAGGAGACTTTTTCAAAAGGAATTCTTTTTAAGAAAATAGGCACATATCTGCTAAGAAGGAAAGTATGAATACTAGGTCATCCCTGTCTTAATGAAGTAAATGTTTAATCATCTTAGTGCGGACACAGCCATGCTGTGTGCCCCAAAAGAGCATTGCTCTCCTATGAGGATCTCTGCCGCCAGCAGTCCCCGCTTCCCTGAGAGGGCCAAGCCCCAGGTTACTTCGTCGTCAATATTTATTCATGCAGCAAAATTTTACTGAGCACCTACCTTGGGCCTGGCAGCCTAGTGGGAGAGAGAGTTGTGTAAATAGATCTGCAGAATGAAGGAGAAAACAGTAATGGACTAACCCTCATGACGCCAAGTTTCTCTAACCTCTGCGTAACCTTTGCTGAGCTGCTAGCCCTGCGCTGTCATTTGTTCATCATTCATTCAGGAAACCTTGTGATCCAGGTTGTGTGCGAGGCCTTGAGGGTAGGAAGACAACGCCTTCTCTCTTTCCTAGATCTCAGGATTCTTCCTGAGATCATGAACCTTAAAATGAAAGTGTGAAGTGCATTAATGGAGAGCGTTTTCCCTCTCCCTGAGCAGACTCTTTGTCAAATGGAGAGAATTAGAACTTTCTCCATGAGTGTGTTGGGACATAAGAAGTATGAAAACTGGGATCTGCATAGGAAAAAAAAGAGTCAGGAGTTTATATCCATCAGTGATTTTGGATAGCTAATATTAAGTGTTTACTGTGCCTGTAACTGTTCCAAATGCTTTAGTTATATTAACCTTTGTGACACTTCTATGAGGTAGGTAATGTGAGGCGACTGAGGAACAGAGAGGTTAAGTGATTTGTCCAAAGTTACACGGCAAGTTAAGTAGCAAAACTAGGACATGAACGCAGGCTGAGAGGCTTCAGAGTCTGAGCTCTTAACCACTATGCTGTGTCACCTTTCCCATGGCACATGACATGCCAGCAAAGCCATTGCTTGAAAAAAGTCACAGCAAATAAGCTCAAGTCTCTACACTTCAGTTTGGTTTTGTCATCTATAAAATGAGGGAGTTGGATTAGATGACCTTTAAGGAATCCTCTAGTTCCTATGAAATGTTTAATTCATTTAGCAAACGTTTATTTAAATCAACAGCTACTTAATATAGGCCAAGCATTATGTTTGGTTCTGGTGATCAGAATGCCTGCCTTCTTAGAGCAGTTACAAACTGGAGTTTATTGTTAGTTTCACTTTAATTCTTGATAGCATTCAAAATTTAACCTAAAAGCTTTAAAGCTAGAAATTACTTAGGTGTATCTTTCCACCTTAGCAGAAAACTGCTTATTTATGTTAAAGTTAGCTTTGTGCTAATTCTGCACTCCAGTTTTCAACCCTGGCTGTTTTGTGTTTTGAATGATAGTAGTTCTGAGTTTGAAAGAAAATAGGATGAAAGGGAATTCCTTTGATTTTATTTGGTTTAGAAGTCGCATTGTGTCTAGCGTTTGAAGCTGTCCTCACTCTGGCAGTTGCTTGAGTGCTCTGCTGAGCAACTGATTTCAAAATATAAAGTATTCCTTGCATTTGCAACTGAGTAGAGCATATATCAAGGGAAAAGATTCAAGTTTTAAGTCATAGGTGAGATAAACAGTTCACAGTAGGTTCTGCTCTGAACTGATGGGAAATAAGACTGAGCTACTCCAAAAGCTAGCTAAGTTGCTGTATACTTTATTTTAATCCCAACAGGAGTCCACTTAGAAATTTGGACCTGGTCCATTACTGCTTAATTTATTTATTTTATTTTATCTATTTATTTTTTGGTAAGGAAGATTGTCCCTGAGCTAACATCTGTGCCAGTCTTCCTCTATTTTGTACATGCAGCACCACCACAGCATAGCTTGATAAGCCGTGTGTAGGTCTGCACCTGGGATCCGAACCCAGGAACCCCGGGCCGCAGAAGCAGAGCATGTGAACTTAACAACTATGCCACCAGACTGGCCCCTGCTTACTTTCTTTTTAAAAGAGGATTTAAAAACTTGTCAAGGACCAGCCTGGTGGCATAGCAGTTAAGTGTCCGTGCTCCACTTCAGCGGCCCAGGGTTGGCAGGTTCGGTTCCCGGGCGCACACGGACACACCACTTGTCAAGCCATGCCGTGGCGGTGTCCCATATAAAGTAGAGGAAGCTGGGCACAGATGTTAGCCCAGGGCCAGTCTTCCTCAGCAAAAAGAGGAGGATTAGCATCGGATGTTAGCTCTGGGCTAATCTTCCTCAAAAAAAAAAAACACTTGTCAAGCTGTATTTTAAGCTAGTGTAGTCCAAAGGATTGGATATGAATCAAACTTGAAAAGTTGTTGCCTCTATGAATATGAATACAATTTGGAAAGTTATAGAGCTCAGAGAAAAAACAAAAAGTGATATAATAGCAAGATTGAAAATGTCATTAATTTGCATTTTTAAATAGGCTGACATTCTAATTATAGCAGTTGCCTTACTGTTACCATATCCCACTTCAGTATTAATCAGTATTACTTATAGACATATAATGAAATCAGAAACTAAACTCTGCTTCCCTGACAGCCTTAAATCATCATCACTAAATTAAGGAAACAGAACAGCCAGCATTTCAGAAATGTACAGTGTATCATTTTCCTTGCTAGGAAACTGGATTATGTATATATAGGATTTATATCTGCATAGCATTCCCTCATCTTTTCTATTTTTAAAATTCAAAAATGTTTCAACTTTTTATAACAAATGTTTTCATTTTGCAACTAGCAAGAAAAAAACAATTCAACTAAAATTCTCTCTGGCCATTAAAGAGGGAAATTCGTTGTAAAAATCCTCGTAAGGTCATTTTTTTTTCTTTTTTTTAAAATTGAGCTAAAATTCACATAACATAAAAGTAACCTTTAGCCATTTTAAAGTGTATAATTCAGTGTAAAGTCATTTTTTTGTCTAAATGCTACAGCTGCACTTTCCAATACAGTAATCACTAGGCACATGTGACTATTTAAATTTTAATTAACATTAAGTAAAATTAAAAATACAGTTCTTCAGCCACACTAGTTTAATAGTCACATGAGGCTAGTGGCTACCATATTGGACAGCACAGAAACAGAACATTAGAACATTTCCATGATGGCAGAAAGTTCTTTTAGCACAGTACTAAACCAGTCTTTTTAGATAACATACACTTTTGGAATCTTTTGTAAATGTGTGGTGTAAGCTTCTATAGCAAAAGTAGTGTTTTTGTTTTGAACTTTTGTAAGGAACATGTATTCAGTACAGATTTTCTCATTTACATTTGGATTTTTTTGATATGACATAAGATTAAACACTGGCAGCTGCTCTCTTCCTAATAGACCATGAATTCTAAGATCATTTCCTGAGCTATTTTGTTCTAGTCTTGGGACGCCACCAAGTGATCAATTTGGGTATTACATTTGGATGAAAAATTTTTTTTTAATTTTTAATGAAAGGGCCAATATGTATTTCCTAACCAATTCCTCTTCCTTGGGAACAGAACACAGTGTTATTCTGGAATTTTATTTGCAAAATTTTATAAGTGAATTTCTTGGTGTGGCTTGGTCAGGATGTATCCAAGACAAACTGTCCTATAAGGCATGGTTGTTTTATCCTCATATAATTTATTTCCTCAGTCAAATTGCTACCTTGGCACTGCCTTACCACCTCTTCATAACCCATAAATCACCCACCGTCAATCCCAAGTGACATAAACAGTTTGCTAATGGTAGGAAGTAGTATTTTAAGTAGAAAAACTAAGAATAAACATATTTTCACTTAAAATCCTGAGTGACTTTTTGGCCTGAGGCATCAATAAAAGATTGTGGGAGTAGAGAGGATAGAAAAAAGGGGAGCTAATTCTTGACTAAACTGTATGCTGGCTTTTATGGCAGCTAGAATGAAATGTTGTCAATCTCACTTCCATAAACTTGCCAATTGCTGTTTTTCTTTTTCTGTAGTGAAGTGAGAATTCTACTAGAGAGGAAATGGCTGCCTCTTCATCATCATCCTCAGCTGGTGGGGTCAGTGGAAGTTCTGTCACTGGATCTGGTTTCAGTGTCTCAGACCTTGCCCCGCCACGGAAAGCCCTTTTCACCTACCCCAAAGGAGCTGGAGAGATGTTAGAAGGTGATCTCATGCTGCTTTGTGCTGAATAATTGGATTCAGACCTGCAATGAATATTAATTGTAAAGAAGCTATTAAGTGGATTAGAGACAAATTTGCCCTGATTTCAGCTCCACATCTCATCTCTTGTCCCCATTTCAAAATAATATCTTTAAAACACAAATCTTTCTCCAGAACCAGAATTTTGGAGCTGAAAAAGACTTTGGAAATCAAGAAGGTCATCTAGAGTTATGTAGACCCAGAAAAGTGATTTGACCATATTAAAGACAAAATCAGCACTGGAACCAGGAATTCTTTTGCTCTCCTGCTCCAGTTTGCTTGATCCCGGCACCAGTCTGCCTCCCTATGGTTAGTAGGTTTTATGTATTTTTTTTTTTTTTTTTTTTTTTTTTTTTTATTTTTTTTTTTTTTTTATTTTTTTCCCCAAAGCCCCAGTAGATAGTTGTATGTCATAGCTGCACATCCTTCTAGTTGCTGTATGTGGGACACGGCCTCAGCATGGCCGGAGAAGCAGTGCGTCCGTGCGCGCCCGGGATGCGAACCCGGGCTGCCAGCAGCGGAGCGCACGCACTTAACCACTAAGCCACGGGGCCGGCCCTTATGTATTTTTCTAATGTAATTAGTCTACAGATAGATTAACCCCATCAAAGAGGTTCTAAGAAGAAATAAAAACTGGACTAATATACTACTCTTATATGTGGAGATGACTCTCCTGGCCTACTGCAGAGTGCTGGGTGGTTTTTCTGGCACTGGAGCTAGATTTGCATGAAATCATTCAGTACACATTTGCAAACTGACTGGCCAAGATCAGGGCACAGGCTGTAAGCATGAAATAACATTGGTACCTGGAATTCATCAGATTTTTGTCACTTTAGGAGCTAGACCAATAAATTCTTAATAGGGAGCATAAAAATCACCTGAAGAGCTTATTTAAAATGCACATTTCTGGCCCACCTTAGAGATTCTGAATTAGTCTAGGGTGCAGCACAGGAATTTTCATTTTGACTAACATCCAGGGGATTCTCATGAAAGTGGTCTTTAACTATTAAACTATTCATCATACTTTGAAAAAAAAATCAACAAAGAACCTATTAATGATTCAATATCTACTTGATTCTAGCACTTTTCTGTTTAATTATAGTATATTGATCTTTTTGGCTTTAAATATTACAAATTTCAGGAAGTATATTTAAAAATTAATCTGGAAATGTCTCTGAGAAATGTACAAGCTATAGTTAGGAGTCAGCTTTTTGGGGTGATCTTTATTCATTTATATCAGGTATAATAAAAAGCAGAGTTTGGGGTTAAGCCGGGATAAACAGAAGAATCATTTGTGACAGGAAAACATGGGAAGATTGGGACCATAAGGCTCTCTAGAATTGGTTCAAATCATGATTCGTGAAGTTGACTCAGGTAGTATAGTTAGTGATACATCTGAGGTGTATGTACTTCTGTCTTTGCCTTTTTGTTTTCTTCATTTGTGTTGACAATACTGGAGTAGGTATCACTGAGTCTGGAGGTAGTGAACAATGGGGCCTTATTTACCATATTTGGCACTAAAAATATATTATAACTTGAATTATATGCAGCAGAGACCTGGTATTAAGGAAGTTTCCCACAAAACAAATCAAAAGTTGGAGACACTTAAATTGCTTAATGAATTTTATAGCAGCAGAAGAGGAATCAGTGTTTAACAATGGACTCTTAAGATTGAAGTCATTTAAATTCTAGCTACAGGAGAAATTTAATACAGGAGGTACCTCCTTAATCTCAAAGCTGTCAGCATTCTTGGTCAGTATACACCAGACTACTTGGGAACATTAAAGAAGAAAGGCTTCTGAGATTAGTCTGAATGTTGATGTTCTAACAAGTTACAGTTCTATCCATTTTTATTCCATCCAGTGTGCTTCATGGAGGAATGGGTTCACTTTCTATTGTAGAATAAATTTGTTTATTAAGTTTAAATTCATAGTGCAAAGTTTTGATTCTCTTTCTTAGGTTTAAAGTGTCACCTATGTTTTAAAGCTGCTTACACTTAAGGACAGACTAAAATTAGAGCTGGCAATGCCTGAGCTATCCTGGTCAAATCAGGAATGTTAAATTGAAGAGAATACTCCTAAGTGTAAGTTAATAAGGATGTTAGATTTGGAAGCATCTTCTACCATGTTTATAGGTGATACTATTATGCAATTAATCTAATGCACATGTACCTGACCATTTTTCTTACAGTACATAGTTTTTTTTTTTTTTGTGAGGAAGATCAGCTCTGTGCTCACATCTGCCAATCCTCCTCTTTTTTGCTGCAGAAGACTGGCCCTAGGCTAACATCCGTGCCCATCTGCCTCAACTTTATATGGCATGCTGCCACAGCATGGCTTGCCAGCGGTGCGTCGGTGCGTGCCCGGGATCCGAATCGGCGAACCCCGGGCCGCCACAGTGGAGTGCGCGCACTTAACCCCTTGTGCCACCGGGGCGGCCCATACAGTACATAGTTTAATCAAATACAAAAGTACAGTAGGAAGAGTTGCCTGTTCAGAGTAAGGAACAAAAGCGATCAGGGATCAAGGTTGGATGCTCTTTATAATCTTAACAGGTTCAACTTGATCTTGCATCCTCCTAAGTCTAGGATAATAAACCCAAATAACTTACAGTTAACCTTGTGAATTAACTTTTTCGTGCATTTGCTCTCGGGTAACAGACACCTCACATAAGCAGTATACAGCAGTTTTCAGCGTTCTCTTGCCCTTGGCTAAGATTGTCCTCACCTAGTTATTAGTGAGCAAATTAGAGACTGCCTTCCAGCCCAGAAGTGGCTGAATTTTAGTGACATTGTAGGCCACTGAACTTAAATTATCTGGCATTGTCTAATTTCCTGCTGTGAGGTAATAGTCTTTTAAATGAATTTGTTAGCATCCTATTTATTGGAGTTGGCAATGGTGTTAAATTTGGGCAATTTACTGAACTTTTCACTATTTATAACCTTTGCTTGTCCCTTAAAAGGAAAGCTGATACATTGCTACTTGGTGTGTTACAAAGGGTTTGATTACAATTTCTAAATGGAAGACAGATTGCCCCAGGCTGACTCCTCTCTGGAGAAATTCCAGTCTTTAGATTAGTACACATATTACATCTAATAGGATGTGGCTAAGAAGCAGTGGACTTGTGGTTAATACAGAGCTGCAAATCAGCAAAAGTGTGTTCCATAGGCATATAGAGTGGCAAAGTGATATGCAGGTGCCTTTTTGAAAGATTATCTTACATGCTTTTGCTTTGAAGTTCATTACCAAGGGAAATATGCAAATGTTATAACTGAAGCATTTTATCCTAATAGCACTCGTGATTAAATGTAAGTGGGAGGTAGCACTTCCAAGAGCTTCCAGGTACGTCTTGGCCTGATCCTTATGGCCTATAATCCACACTGCCTTGTGTGAGATCCTAAAGTTCAGGATCAAACCACCTGAGAAGTGAGCTCTAATTCTCTGTGCTTTGCTCTTGCTAAAATAAAACTTGAGTTATAATTTGACTCTTTAAGCAAGAGTATGAATAGGATAATGAACACTGGCGTATTTACGCAGAAGAGCCATAATAAATTGCGTCATTGGTGTCAAATGTTCACACAGTTCCTCTTCCCATAGTGGGAGTCATAGTTATTTGCTGCCCTTTGCCCTTATCTAAAAAACTCAGTGATAGCATTAGCTTACCTAGATCTTTAAACTGGACAGTCAGTATAATACTTAGTTAATTGAAAATAAAATTTTTTTTTGCTCAATTTGGATAATCTGCTCACAAATGACTTACAGTCAGCCAGAGGAGTTGGGGTGGGAGGAGGGGATAGGCTCATATCCCATATAGCACCATATGTACAAAAGAGGTTGAATTTAAAGGATGTAACACTTTCCTTTTTATGTGACACTATAAATGAAATAAATTATATTTCGAAATAATACATAATATATGTCGATATATATTATGTATGAAAATAATATTTTCATTTTTTTGCATCAGTTTTGAAGATAATATTAGAAGCCTTCTTGGTTGTATATTCAAGCCATTTAGATACAATATCTGTAGTTTTTCTTATTGTTTACCATGACTTCTGAAATAAGGCCTGCCTTGTGTGAAACTCAGCATGAAGCCAGAATGCATTAGTCTTGTCTCCTTGTCACTTAATACCTGGCTGACACACCAACCCATGATTGATGGGTGAGTGCTTGACACCTAGTAGTGCTGGCACGAACCACCACCTAAAAAAAAACAGCGTGTCCTCTCCCTCCATTTGTTTTAGGATTTTTGCAATAAGATACCTTCCCCAAATGGCTTCTGTTACCCTTCTAAAAGTCACACTTTCCTTCATGAGCTCTCTTGGGGTATGTTTTGCTGTATCAGACCTTGCCTGACAAGGCATAACATGAACTAGCTTCTGTTTCACAATCATCTTCCAAGTACTGTGGTGACTGAGTTAGCTACCTTCTTGTTGCCAGTTCTTGGCACCAGTACAATGCTAGGTTCTGCAATTGCACCATACTTTTATCGCCATCCAAATTGCAGTGTTTTGGTTCAGTTGGAATATCAAGGTTACAGTTTGCGTTTACAGAATGAAATTTCCCTGCAGTGTTTTGTGATGGTCGTATGATGTAATTTGATATATTAAAAATCAACAACAGCTATTTTTCCCTCAGTTTTACTTTTTAGAATGAAAATGACTTAGAGTTTTGGTGTACCTTTGTATGTTGATAGCACAGGGGCCACCTGGCCAAATGCGTCAGCTGTCAGTGTTTGCCTGACATACAGAACAGGAGAACATTAAGAAACTGTCAGGTTGGGAGGGGGGAAATGTTAACCAGGACGTCAAACTGAGGTTTCTTGTTTTTGTTTTTTTAAACACTATTTTTAAACTCTTAAATAAGTAGAGGAACTATTTTAATATTCTAGGTATAGAAGAAATAGCTTTTATAACAGAGCAGTTTAGTTCTAAATGAAACAGAAGCCCTCTTTGTAAACACTAAAAACTAGACCCTGAATGTAAAAGCAGGGAAAAGAATAGACAAATTTGCTTGGTTTATCAGAAGCCATAAAACCCTTAGAGCAGATTAAAACTTTTCCTGTTCTATTTGTAGATGGATCTGAGAGATTCCTCTGCGAATCCGTTTTCAGCTATCAAGTGGCATCTACGCTTAAACAGGTGAAACATGGTAAGCACATGAGTGTTGTGTATTTAACTATGAGAATAAGTTTACTGGGGAGGTGGGAGACGGGGACTCAGAAAGGTCAGTGTGCTCTGTGACAAAAACTCCCGAAATTCAACTATTTAAGTGGACTTTCTAAATTACCTGCAAACAAGAACATTCTATGATCTTAATCCAGATATAATGTCCACATTGAGATTTAAAGTTGAGTCAAGAGGGTTAGTTTTCTAGGGGAGTTAATGCTTCCTACTCTTATGTTACTTTTTCCTCTCCTTTCTGAAACCTTCTTTTACTATTTTCCTCTACTGGTTTTACCATCATCATCTTCATCTTCAAATATTTATGTAATACTTCATTGGTCTATCTGAACTCTGAGAAGCCTCGACTCTAATATCCTGATATCACCTTTTCTCATCCATCATGCCTCACCAGGCCTTCATTTATGCGTCAGGGAACTATGTTCCCCCATCAGACCATTTCTCCATTGAAAGCGTAATATGGGGGGAAAGGCTACAATTACCTGTAACCATAGGATTTTAGTACACAAATCACTGTGGCATGGTGGATAAGTATTACGTTTGTTTTTTTTTAAGATTAAGTCTTCTGACCAACATACAATAAGACTCCATTACTACTAGAATATTGAGGGAAAAAATTCTTCTAGAAATTATTTTTAAACCAATCATTATGTTGGTGGTTGGTGAATATCTCATGTATTATATATTACCTCCTTGACTCTTTACAGATCAGCAAGTTGCTCGGATGGAAAAACTAGCTGGTTTGGTAGAAGAGCTGGAGGCAGATGAGTGGCGGTTTAAACCCATCGAGCAGCTGCTTGGGTTCACACCCTCTTCAGGTTGACCTTGCCTGGATGGTCGCCTCTGGTGCACAGCAAGTGCAGGGCCAGCAAGGGACTTTTCTTACAGCTTACATAGCCATCCAGAGATTCACAGCTCCATTGCTGAATTGTTAATTCACATCCATACTTGGTTTCTCTGTATCTAAAGCAACAAATACTTATGTATGATCTTGCAGGGAAAATTTTTTTTTATTTGTTTAAAAAAATATTGAGAATCATATTAAGACAATCGGCATAAGAGAACCAGGAGGTTTGGGTTTAAGAGATACTTATAATACTTCACAAGCCAGGGAGGACACCTACCCGAATTGGCCAACTGAATGGCATCTCTCTTGCCATTCATGCAGTGCCTGGAATCCTCACAGTCAAGTCCAAGGTCAGCACCTGGATTTATAAAATACAGCATTTCTGACCTAAAACAGTTCTTTTTTGCAGATGAATGTGATTTCAACTCAGGATCTGTCCAAATGAGGAATTTTGAAATGTTCGGGGTTTTTTCTATTTTTAGACATTCTATAGATTCTAACTTTTTCTAACCTCTTCTAGACATGCCAAGTGCTGGCAAAAAGAATTGCTTTTTGAATGTTGAAGCACTTGTAAAAATAAAGCAGTGAGCAAAATCCTTTTAAAAAGAAATCCTGAGTTCACCTTGTTGGTGGGCTCAAGCAATTCTATAGCAAATAAATCCTTTGAAAGAGCTCCAGATTAGTTTCTTTATCCTTTCAAAGTCTCAGGGATTTAGGATAGGGGGAAGAGGTCAAATTACTTTTTATAAGAAGGGAATCTAAAAACCATTTCCCCTAAGCAAATGGTAGATTTGTTTTTATCTCAGGGATATTTGTCCTTACAGAAGTATGTGAATTTATCTTATCAATATCTGAGTAGGTTTTAATACCATAATAGGGAAAAACCTGAAAAGCTAAGAGGTGTCCTTTGTTCTTTCTCATGGGACCCCAGGGTCCACACTGCACAATTAGGAGAATCCTTTATTAGATTGTATGCAAATTTTGCCTTAGATGACATTTGCCTCTCTCCTCAGCAATAACTTGTTACCTGACGTGCTTAGGGTTGCTTAATTATGAATAAATATAATCCCAGTAGCAGTTGACCTTAATCTCAGGAGTTCAAAATATTTAACACGTACTACCTGACAGAGAGGAGGTGGTGACCTCATTGAGTCATTAAGGATTCTGAGCACAAGGAAGTTAAAGACCTGCTCATGGTCACATAGCCCAGGCAGAAGAAAATCTTGGAACTTGGAATAGATTGCAGTTGATAATTCAGCCCACTATTCTTGCCTCTAAAGCACATCAGAGCACAAAAATTACCACCTATTTCCACAAGCAAACTCACCTATTTCCACATTAATATTTCTCGAACCCAAACAAGTTCCATATTTGAAAGCCATTGAGTTTCCTAACATTGTATTTTTTAGCATCAACCATCTTGATGATTACCAAAGGAAAAATTAAAAATACCTAGACTGCAGTAAACCTTTAAATCATATTTTCAGTGACAGTTTAGAAGCAATCACTAACTTGCATTCATTTCATTTGTATAACTGTACAACACAGACACTGTATCCCTTCATCTTTACCCTTTGGTATTTGAACTTGTAGACTATTTTTCTCTTTAAGTTGGACATTTCTTTTTATGGTCTTAGAAGTTGAAGAAATCCTAGGGCTGAACAGAAGTGCTTTCTGAAGCACCTTTCACAGTGATCAATCAGCTGCTCCCTAAGTGCTACCAGGAACAAGACCACTGTTTTTGAAGACAGCCCTTCCCTCTCTGTACCTTTCTGTAGGTCATTATGTCTTAGCATCCACAATTCCTGTTACCGTGCTTTGGGCTTAAAGATGGACCTTGTTGCTCATCTGTCATCTCCTCTGCACTTATGTGCCAGTCACTCACAGGCATTAATTATAATCCTTTCAATAATGCTACAAGATATGTAATACCCCCTAAAACAGAAGAGGAACTTGAAGCTTAGAGCAAACATTACTTGCCAAGCCTGCATAGCTAAGGAAATGGCCAAGTCTGGATATTAACTCCAAGTCTGCCAGACTCCAAAGCTGAGATTATTTTAGATGCACCATGCTGCATCCCCCTGAGCCCAACCCACTGCCTTGTACAAAGAAAAATCCTAAAACCTTATTTTTTTAATGATAAAATGAATTAACTACCTGGAGGAAATAAGCCTCGTCACTACCCTCCCTTCTCCCTCCCACTGCTTGGTGACAAGAGGTCTCAAGCACAATGAAGGAACAGCGTCCTCTTTAGGAACTGATAGGAATTAGCTATACGTTAGTGTCTACATAGCCTTTTAAGGTTCAGTATGGTGAAAATGTAGTTAGATGCTTGAGGCACACCTAAGTGAGCAAGGAGGAAAGCAAGAGGGCAGATGGCAGCTAATGACCAGGACTGCACAGACAGCCATCTGAAGAAAGCTGATGGTAATGGTGCCTCTGTGCATAAAACACAAAGCATTTTCACATATATCATGTCTTGATTCTCACATCAACCCTGTGAGATAAATGAGGCAAGTATTATTTCACAGTTGAGGCAACAGGCACAGAGAAGGTAAGGTACCAAGATTATAGTTAATAAGCAAGGGAGCTAGGTCTTTCAAATCTGTGTCTCTGTGCCTTCTAGTTTATCATATACTAGAAAATCTGAAGGCAGAATTTGCTGTTAAAGAATCGTTCATGTTGATCTGATATATAATTACATATAACTATTTTGTCTCATGGTAATGAGACATAGTAAACTTAAATAAAGCTGGTTTTACTTCTACATAGTAAAAAATTTTATTTTTTGACTTCACATTTAATTATCCAGGGTCAGCATTAAAATCCTGCGTTTTCACTGATAGATTTAAATGTGTTATTTATTAGTGCCATCCCATGCCTGATAACTCACCTGGAATGACAGTGGTCTGGAACTCGCAATCGAGTTCCTGAGTCAAGGACCTCTCTTGGCTCTCTGTTTACTTGCAGCCTGTGGCTTCCCTTCCCCAACATGGTTGGGAGTCCTGGAATCCCTTGTTCCCAATAAGAACACCAGATACTGAAGTGGTAGAAACTTCGGACTTTGAGGCCAAGTCAGAGGTAGAAGAAAGCAGATAGGACCAAGAGATGCCTATCATCCAGAAGGAAGTGGAGGAACCTGCCCAAGGACGTGGTGCCCTTTCAGGCAAACCTAAGAGATACTACACTTGGAAGAGAAGGCTACTGTGCCTCTCCCTGTCCTTTTGCCAAAGCACCTAACTAACTCTGCCTAAAATATCTTGCCAGGCCTCCTTGTAATTGCCTGAAGTTCCAGCCAAGACAAAACCTTTCCACAAAAGAGAGAAAAGGCTTAAATAACAGATACTTGGGAAAGTTAAATCTTGGGTTGCAGGCAAAGTACACATGTACTTTACCTGAAGTACAGACCTTTTCCTGTGTCCCAGAGCTGAGTTTGGGATGGAAGTGACACCAAGGGTGAAGAACAGGGGAAGGAGGCTGGAGCATGATGCTTGGCCGCGAGCCTGCCTTATTTATTTATTTGCATCTGTTCAAAGAAGGAGTCTCAGAACTTGAGAGCTACAAGAGACCTTAGAGATCATCTAGTTCATCCCCCTGGTTTACAAGTAGGACATTGAGACCTTACCTGTTTCACTCACTGCCATATACTCAGTACTTAGAACACTACCTAGCGCACAGTAGGTATATTATAGGTATTTACTGAGTGAATGAATGTATTAATTTGTTGTATGTTTACTTTGTTTTGGAAGCTGTGCTATTTACAGTGCAACATCCATAGTGGAGTAATGCCTAAGGTAGTTCAGATAGGTCATGGGCAGAGCCAAGACTATAACCCAGATCTAAGCCCAGAGCTCTCTGTAATGCTACCCTGACAGGTGGAAGCTGTGGGACAAATGGAAATGCGTGCTAAAGCAGCCATGTTTCACATGATCCCATCCACGTGAATGAAGGTGACTGATGCTGGTGGCTCCCTGCCCCTCCTCATGGGCTCCTGCACATGGGCTGGTGGCAGTGCCACGTGTCAGCATCCACAAGCTAGTCTCCACCTCTCCAGATACTTCAATTTCTCCAGTCTGTCAAGTTTCCCTAGAGGAGTTTTCCAGAATCAGCTTATTTCATTTTCATAATATAAGCTCTTTAGGGCAGGTAATGAAACGACATACAGTTTATTACCAGCAAGAGTAGAGGGCATGTTCGTTTCCAAATGTCGTTCATTCATTAGACATACGTTTATTGAGCATTTACTATGTGTCTAGCATGTGCTAGACGCTGAGGATGTGCTGTCAAACAAGACACAGCAACCTTGAGTTATAAATATATTAAGAGAGACAAAAGGGTAATTTTAAGTGTAAAAACTGTCTGATAGGAGAAAGCATGAGATACTGTAAAATCAGAGACAACTAATCCAGCTGAGCAAGGGGTCAGAGAAGGCTTCCTAGGAGGATGGTCTTTAGGCTGAGACCTGAATAACAAGTAGGTGGGGTGGGAAGGAAGGACTTTCTAGGTGGAGGGAATAAAATATGCAAAGGCCCAAGGGTGAGAAAGGGCATCATGCTTTTGTAGGGCTGCTGGTGCTTTGTTATGGCTAGTTCATAGAGCATAAGGGCAAGAGTTGAGACGGAGGATTGGACCTGATGGGTTTTGCTAAGGAATTTGAACTTCAACCAGAGGACGGTGGGGAACCACTAAAGGGTTTGAAGTAGGAGAACGACAAGATCTGGTTTCACTTCAGAAATTTTAGTTAGAGGGAATGGTGGCGAATCAGTGGCAGTAAGATCCAGATCCTTTAGGAAGCTGTTGTGGAAATCCAGGTGAGAGATGACTGCAACCTGAATTAAAGGTATGGAGATAAGAGAATGGATTTGAGAGTTACTTAAGAAGGATATACGAGGGGGCTGGCCCAGTGGCTCAAGCGGTTAAGTGCACATGCTCTGCTGCAGCGGCCCAGGGTTCGCCGGTTTGGATCCCGGGCGCACACCGACGCACCACTTGTCAAGCCATGCTGTGGCGGCGTCCCATATAAAGTAGAGGAAGATGGGCACGGATGTTAGCCCAGGGCCAGTCTTCCTCAGCAAAAAAGAGGAGGACTGGCATCGGATGTTAGCTCAGGGCTGGTCTTCCTCACAAAAAAAAAAAGAAGTATATACAAGACTTGGCGACTGGTCAAACTTGGAGAACTCAGGGAGAATACCCAGGTTTCTTGTGTCAGTAGCTGAGGGCTTGGTGGTACTATTCACTGAGACAGGGGTACAGAAAGAGGAGCAAGCTCAAGGAGATGTCCAATAGGCGGATGACTCTATGGTTCTATAGCTCAGGAGAGTGAGCTGGGCTGGAGTTAGATTTGGGCCTCACCAGCCTAGAGATGTTTATGAAACCAAAGGTGGGGTATGGATGGAATTGCCAAGGAAAGAGCCCATGGAGTGAGAAGAGAATTGGACCAAGAAGGGATCCCTGAGGAACCCTAACATGTAAGGGACAGGCATAGGAGGAGGAGCCCACGCAAGCAACTGGCAGGAAGTCACCAGAGAGAGAGCCAGAAAACCAGAGTGTGGCATCATGGAAACCAAGGGGAAAGGACAGTTTGAGGAGGCTGCAAACAGCAGTATCTGGGGTAGCCAAGCAATTAAGTGAAGTAAGGGATGGAGAAGGCCTTTGGATTTTACCAAGGAGATTGCTGGTGACCTTGTCTGAAGAGCAGCCATCTTAGTGGTGTAGTGGAGACAGAGCCAGACTGCTGTGGGTGGGAGAGAGAGGAAGGTGAAAACGTGGGGCGAAATCTAGGCAACACTTTTAAGAAGTTCAACAGAAAGGGGAGGCAACAATGAGGGACAGAGAGGATGGCAGTTAAAGGAAGACACA